ATACACATACTTCACATGAAAAAATAATGCCTCTTAGATTGTAAGCTCCAAGGAGCAGGGCCCTCCTATCCCTCTTATATTGAACTGTATTGTCTCCGGTTATATTGTAAAGCGCTGAGCAAACTGTTGGCGCTATATAAATCCTGTATAATAATAATAATATGTGATGCTAGGTATGCTTTACATGTAAATATAGTGCATCAAGCAGTACAATATAAAACTCAATATCCAGGGCAGCAAGAATATGAAACCTACAGCATCTCTGTTTAGGTCCCAAATTGTGGTTACTCAGATGAACAACATGTAAAAAAATAAATAAAAGCATGATACGGTGATGAAGAAAGAAAAGCCACCCGTAGAAGCAAGAGACACTGTGCACCATAAATAGCACCACATAGTAGGAGTTGTATGCACTTTAATATTAGAACATACAGATACTATACACACAACACCAAGGGCCCATTTACATTCAAAATTACACACGTTGGTGAACGTCACATTTAGCACGTTGCAATGCCATTTATTTTGAAGTGCACCCCGATGTTCTAAGGTAAAAGCCCTCAAATGTATGTATGTTGCAATGCGCAGTGACGGTCCATTTTCATGCATTGACAGCTCATTCGTTTGATGGCCTTCCTTAACACAATGCATATTGACGTCAAACACGACACAATGCACCAGAAAAGAAAAATGTAAACGGCCCTGAACAAAAGTACAGGATAAAGAAAGCATACATAGACCAAGAAGAAATGCAGTGTATAGGATACCAAGGAAAAAAGGCTGTGCAAACCTACTCAAAATCCAAGTCAATGGAGTTTATTTACTAAAGGAACAGCAGGTACACTTAAGCAAATTTAAAGTGTTTACTAAACCCAGGACCATGCATTCACTATATCTGGTCTACCACAGTACACAGAACATGGAAATACAATTATTTTAGAAAATATAAACTGCTAAATATCTTTTCTCATCAGCAGTTAGAACAGTCTTGTGACTTCTATCAGTGTCCAGCAGAGCACTCAATAAAGCTTGTAGGAGGAGGTTTCATTCTGCTCTAGGAGGATGCAAAACCCCTGACCTCTGTCTGGACAGTGCTGATTGACCCTGTGCTGATCACGTGCACTCTCCCAAGAAAAAAAAAAAAACCTCTCTAGCAATACACACCAAACTGAGCATGTGCAAAATGCCTTCAGTTCAGTCAGGAGATAAGAGATGGTCGCTTGAAAAAAGGGGAGGATCAGAGAAGACAGGATCAAACAGCCTTTTTACACAATGCAGAGGATTAACCCCTTAGGTTCCACAGAGAGTATAACAAGCATGCTTTACTGCATATACAGACTGATTTTACTGTTGTGGGTTTAGTAACACTTTAATGTCCCTGTAATTTAGTGAATAAGGTGACACCGCAGTTACTTCAGGTATCCAATCAGTACAGCAAACATTTTTTTCTTTTTAATGGACCTTGTACATGATTGGCTATTTCAAAGTGAACGTAGCTTCACCTTATTTACTAAGCTAAATGAACATTCTCTACTCCTTTAGCAAAGACTTGTTTACACTAGAGGTTGGGGGGGTGGTAAAACCTACCGTCCCTCAACCTCTACCCCCTTTAGCTGCAGAGGCAGCGGTCAGTGTTGTACACATGCCATGCCCTCAATGCTCTGTTTCACAGGAATTTTACCTCCTGTCGCTTTGGGCTGGTTCACACCAGCTCTGCTCTCTGAAGAGCAATCCACATTCGGATTGCTCTTCAGTGAGCATTTGACCGATGAGGAGGAGGTGTTGTAGCATCTTCTCACCACTTGCTTTAACCCCTTGAACCCTGCACTAGCGCGTCTCAAACACGTGCATTGCACGCCGCCCCATTCATTTCACGTGGGTATATTTCCTGCCACAACATGTGTATACCCCCGGTCTCTGCAGCTAAAGTGGGTAGCAGTTTTGGGGGTGGTAAAATAACAGCTCAGCCATGGGAGTTTTACAACCCCCCCCCCCAACTATCAGTGAGAATGAGCTTTTTCAGTGAGCGCTACCTCCCACCGAGAACAACCCATTCAAGTAAGTAGGGCCGCTCTGCAACATAGGTGTACTATAAGTGACACACAAAAGCCCAAACTCCAAATAACATTTTTTAGCAGTTACAGCCACATTTTTGTTTACTTTCGAAAAAAAAGAATAAACCAATGAATAAACGCTGAGTGTAAGAACCCCGCTCAGGTTCCAGCGTCGTCATATGGGGCTGGAAGAGAGTACTTGGCCATGCATAGTCTCCAGCTGTGATTGAGATACTTGGTATGGCTCCCACTGGAGGAATGACAGATACAACGGGGGCTCCGGGGGGATGCTGATCTCTTACAGTACATATGTATGTGTGAGGATGTGAGTACAGATTAGAAATAGGCATATGACACATTCTCAATTATAATACCTATTAAATCCACAAAAGCCATCAATACTTCATGAGAAAACGCTCAGATATTGCTATTTCCTTCTATACTTGTTTCTATATTTACTTTCCTGAATAAGTAACATTAACCCCAGGTTCACACCCAAGTGTTTTCCGCAGCATTTTGCAGAAACGCAGTACAGTCCATTTAACATGATTTCCTATGGGACACGTTCACATCTCTACGTTTTCACCAGGTGAGTGTTTTGGAAAGGGTCAAGGACTTTTTTAAATGCAAAAAGTTGCCTTTTTGGTTATAAACTTCAATAAAAATGCTGCAGAAAAGCATGTAGTGCGTTTTTGATGCGTTTTAATCTGCCTAGTGACATAAAAAAAAAAAACACAAAACACGTCAAAAAAGCATGTGCAAAAATGCAAAACGGACCGCAAAAAGCACCCCAGAAACGGCTCAAACACAAAATGCATAGGTGTGAACCTAGCCTAAGGCCCCCTTTCACACTGACGGTCTGATCGGGTCCACCTGTCAGTTTTTCAGGCGGACCCGATCGGACCACCCATAGCTCTCTATGGAGCGGCAGGTGTCAGTGGATATGTGTCCGCTATAAACCCACCAGCATCCGATCCAACACCAAAAACAGACGGATTGGGATTCATTTCCCATCCGTATGGCAGATCGGATCCAATGACAGATAGACAGACAGGCAGTCCATTTCCACTTGACCACTCCATAGAAAACAGCAGGCTGTGTCTGTGTCCACTCTGCATCAGCAGAGCAGACACAGACCTGGCAACCGCTTGCTCAGCGGGGATCGGAGAGATTCCCCTGCTGAGCTAGCAGATCCGATGATGGTTCTGCCTCATCTAAAAGGGGCCTTATACATTTCCGATTTTTTTTTTTTTCAAGAATTAGTGCTTGTATTCTTATCTCATATTCTTACTGATCCCTGGGACTTGCATCCAAAAGTCAATAGCAATGGGTACCTGTTTTGCTAATAGACAGGAGCTTCAGATACAATAGCCTCTAGTCTGGAAGCAGTATGGTTACATCTTCTCTTCCTGCAAAAGCATCATTACAGGGAGCTGAATGTAAGGCAAGTGATTGAACTGCTTATTTATCCCAACATAAAGCCCATCTCTCATCCTCTAGTGGTGGCCTCAAGCAGTGGTGGCCTCAAGTAGTGGTGGCCTGAAGCATGGCCGTCTTAATAGCATCATGGGCTCTGGGGCAAAGTAATGCACTGGCACCCCTACCATCCTGCACCAATTTATGCACCTACCCTCAAGAATTAAAGTATAAATAGTTGATAGAATTAAACATATATTTATTAGCACTTTCAACAAAAATTATTTTAAATAAGAATTCATAATATAAACCAAAGACTAATGAACACAAAGGGCACAGTACTGGAGGAAGGCAGAAGGGCACAGTATGGTAAGGAGATGTCTTTCCAATTGTAGATTTAGCCCACTGACAGGCTGCTCCTGTCCCCATAGCCCAGATTCAAGGACAGCCATCGGGACAGCTTAGTAAAATGCATGACTGTCCCGGCAAATCCGGGACAGTTGGCAAGTATAATGTATTGCAAGGTTATCATGAGGCCCTCATGCCCCTGGGGCCCCTGGGCACTGTCCACACATTACGATGGCTCTGGCCTCAAGCAACTATTGCAGGAAGACAAGATATATGTTGGCTGCTAACAGGCACCCATTGCAATTGACTTTTTGGAACAAGATGCAGAGACAAGTAAGATTAAGAGATAAGTGCTGAAGGTGCACCTATAAGTGAAATACACAACTGAGTTAGGTCATACAGGAAATATGGAGACAATGTTAGAGGGCCCTTAAAGGGATGTTAATACATGCATGGCCTGCTCTTCTGGGATCAGTAGATTTATCACAGTGAAGGAAGAGAATGTCATTGTGTATTGAATGGTTTGACGCAGTTCAGAGTAGTGAGAGGTGGCCTCTCTGATCTCTTGAAGAAGATTGCAGGTGAGCTTTCACAGTAGTCAGTGTTTGGTTTCCCGCATCCTGAAGGAGTATGGCGCACCGTTGTCACATCTCCCTCCTGATTAGCGTCTTTGTATCATCCGTATTCCTCATTAAAAAGAACTCAACATAGTGCTTTATCCTTTTAAACTTTTTTTATTCATCAATTAAAACATATGAAATACACTCACGTTCCTGAGGTGTATTTTGCCCAGGTATATATATATATTCTTTTATTTATATTTTTATTTCCATATTAACCTCCCTAGCGGTCTGATTATGTGCATATTTCTGTGCTCAAAGCGGTACATTTTTTTTTATTGTAGGCCTGTAATTTTTAGGAATAACTCACTGAAATCTGTCCAAACAAGAGTCTAGTAAACATCCCGGGTACAATAAAACTTGAAACATGAAATCATAAATTATAATGTATTAAATAATCATAAAAAATAATAATATAATAATAATTAATTTTATTTAATAATATAATCAAACCAAAAACACTGAAATTTGATATATAGCGCCAAGTTCGCACATCACTGAGCAAAGTCGCAAAATCGTTTTCAGTGTCTGATGACGAATTTCCCCCACAAATCATTATCACTCAATTCTGCAAGTAGTCCTGATTTACTATCGCTGTTCTCTAGTTGGTCTAAAACCGCTTTTGACCTAAAGGGACACTTTTTGGATGCCATGGACATTTCTCAGTTTCCAGGCAGAAAGAACAGTCAAAATGTAGGCAGGGCACAGGACAAAGCAGTAGGGACAAAATGTATGTGAAATGGTTTGATACAGTAATGTTTTACTATGTGATTTTAGTGAATGTCACTTTTTGTCATTTTCAAATTTCCCGCCGTTCCGTCCCCCCGTACGTCCTGACGCTCGCAGGGGATGGAACCCAGATGACAGATGCCTGCATCTGCCGGATTACATTGCCGGGGACACTGCAGGAGGGACATCGCGGGAGCGCAGGACAAGGTAAGTAATCGAGGGATCACGGAGCAGTGCCGCATGGTAAGCCCGAGTGTAGCCCGGGGTTACCGCTTGTAGTACTGAAACTTTACCCCGAGCTACACTCGGGAATACCGCCAGGTTAATATTTTTTCTACTATTTTTTCTTCTAATATATATTTATTTATTCACTTTGTTTTTTGGTTATATAATGGTTTGTACCATTGTTTCATGTAGCGCAGCATTTTTTCACTTCACAAGATGTCTGTCCTGATGGCTGTGCTATTAAGATAAAACTTTTCAATAAAGGGTTTATTTTGTTCAACAAATGGCAATTGTGCAACTCCTTATATACTACTAAGATGACCTACGTGGGGTAATACTGATCATTTTAAGGGGAAAGGGGAGTGACAATAGCTAAAGAGAGACCAAATGAGCAAACTTTGTTGAGGTATTGGAAGAAGCAGCTAGGTCCATAGACATCAACATAGAAAAATAGTGTGTGTACCCTAGCCTTAAAGTGGTTGTAAATCCTTACATATAGTAAGTAACGTGACTGGCCTCAGGTGATACACAGAGATGAAACAAATCCTCCTATATAAGTTGTACCTGTTTATCTGTAACTATTTGTTGTGTACATCCTTGGGAGCACGCAGCACCGCGATCCGGTGCCCGCTGTTTCCTCCGGACACAGTGGAACACCGATTGTCGTACGGGACCTCTGTGTGAGGTCCAGATCATGTGATTACTGATTGGCCAATCAGTGATCACATGCAGAGTAGTAAGCAAGATGTCACTTTTGACATCATTGCTTACTACATGTGAAATCTGTGAATGATCTCAGAGGTCACATGGTACAAGGCTATTCACAACAGCCTTGTACCATGTGACAAGCTGTGACCAATCACAGCTCACACAGTAGTTCTCAATGGCTGCAAGAATGCAGCTAGAGAGAAGGAGAAATGATTGCTTTTACAGCCTTTATGGGGTGTAAAAGCAATCAATGTAAAAAAAAAAAAAAACACCTCTTCATCACCCCCCCACAAGTAGTACAGTGTCACCATGGTGACACTGTACTGCTAGGGTGACAGTATGTAAAAAAAAAAAAACATAAATAATAATATAAAAAATAATAAAATAAAAATGTAAAAATTTTTTTAAAAATTATAATTTTTGGCTATAAACTAATTTGGGTTATTTTTTTTTTTACTAAAAAGATAACAGAATAAATTTTGGCCAAGATGTATGATGAAATATTATTTATTTGCAAAATTTTATAAGAAGCACACTTTTTTTCAAAATTTTTGGATTTTTTCATTTACATAGGAAAAAAAATAAAAATCCCAGTGGTGAATAAATACCACCCAAATAATGCTTTATCTGTCTCAAAAAATGCTAAAAAATTCATATGGGTACAGTGTTGCATGACCGCGCAATTGTCATTCAAAGTGTGATAGCACTGAAAGCTGAAAATTGGCCTGGACAGGAAGGGGGTAAAAGTGTTCAGACTTGAAGTGGTTAAAGGGCCATTATAATGAAAAATATGCCAATAACTGTATGATGTTAATAACTGTCCAGATAGTAATCAGTATATGAACTCCTTTTTTTTAATTTCATAAGTCTTTATTCATATTATTCACTGCCTTTACTTCCAGTCCAAGCTGTCCAGCTAAAGTGATAATTACAGGGTTGGGGCAAACCATATAAACACTTTGCCATAAGTTGTGGGTAAGACCGCACAATGAACGTTTTATACATTGACCCCTTAAAGTCTATCGAAGCCCTTGTTCACATGGATGTACTATAGCATATAGTTACTAATAGTTACATAGTCTGGCTGAAAAAAAGACAAAAGTCCATCCAGTTCAACCATTAAAAAAAAAAAAAAGTTATAATCCTATACCCATAGTTGATCCAGAGGAAGGCAAAAAAAACCCCAGGAAAGCATGATCCAATTTGCTCCATCAGGAAATAAAATTCCTTCTTGATCCCCCGAGAGGCAATCAGATATTCCATGGATCAACTTTACCTATAAATGTTAGTATCCAGTTATATTCTGTGTATCTAAGAAACAATCCAGGACTTTTTTGAAGCAATCCACTGAGCTGGCCAGAACTAACTCTTGAGGGACTCTATTCCACATTTTCACAGCTCTCACTGTGAAGAAACCTTTCCGTGTTTGGAGATTAAATTTCTTTTCCTCCAGATGTAAAGAGTGCCCCCTTGTCCTCTGTGATGACCTCAGGGTGAATAGCTCTACACCGAGTTCACTATATGAACCACTGATGTATTTATACATGTTGATCATATCCCCCCTTAATCTCCTCTTCTCAAGAGAGAATTAATTCAGTTCCTCTAATCTTTCCTCATAGCTGAGCTCCTCCAAGCCTCATCAGTTTGGTTGCCCTTCTCTGTACTTTCTCCAGTTCCCCAATGTTCTATTTGTGAATTGGTGCCCAAAACTGAACTGCATATTCCAGATGAGGTCTTACTAATGATTTGTACCGGGGTAATATGATATCTCTCTCTCTGGAGTCTATACCTCTTTTAATACAAGAGAGGATTTTGCTCGCTTTAGAAACCGCAGCTTGGCATTGCATGCCATTATTAAGCTTGTGATCTACCAGAACTCCCAGATCCTTCTCCACCATTGATTCCCCCAGTTGTACCCCCCCCCCCCAGTATGTATGATGCATGCATATTCTTAACCCCCAAGTGCAGAACCTTACATTTATCAACATTAAACCTCATTTGCCACATAGTTGCCAAATTAAACAGTGCATTGAGGTCGGCTTGTAAATTGGAGACATCCTGTAAGGACATTATTCCACTGCACAGCTTGGTGTCATCTGCAAAGACTGAAATGGGGTTTTTAATCCCAGACCCTATATTGTTTATAAATATATTAAAAAGTAAGAGTCCCAACACTGAGCCTTGGGGTACACCACTGACAACCCTACACCATTCAGAGTATGAATCATTAACCACTTCTCTCTGAATATGATCTTTTAGCCAGTTTTCTATACATTTACATACGGATTTTTCCAAGCCCGTAGACTTTACCTTACACATTAGCTGTGTGTGGGGAACGGTGTCAAACGCTTTTGCAAAATCCAAGAATACCACGTCCACCACCACCCCTCTGTCCAAGTATACCACGTCCACCGCCACCCCCTCTGTCCAAGTATACCACGTCCACCGCCAACCCTCTGTCCAAGTATACCACGTCCACCGCCACCCCTCTGTCCAAGTATACCACGTCCACCGCCACCCCTCTGTCTAAGGTTTTGCTCACCTAAAAATAAATTATTATTATTATACAGTATTTTTATAGCGCCAAAAGGTTTGCTCAGGGCTGTACATTATAGAAATCAGATTTGTTTGACAACTTCTGTCTTTCATGAATCCATGCTGTCTGTTGCTTAAAATATTTTTTTCCAGCATGAACTCATCTATGTGGTCTTTTATTAAACTCTCCAGTATCTTCCCAACTATAGAAGTTAAACTAATGAGGGCCGTGTTCTGTGTATCAGGTGTTCTGTGTATCCCTGTGGAGGCAGTCCCATTCATTTCATTCATTAGAACATAGCGACTGCACAGACACAGCCACTGCTCCCTATTTGGCATCCATGTGGGTGCACAGCCCTGAGTGCACATTGTCTGTGATCAAGGCCACAAGTCCGCACTTGCACAACTGGGGGCTTGGAAGTAGCAGCTGTGTCTGTGCATACGTTGTATCCCAATTGGCATAATTGGGACTGCCTGCATAGGGATGCATGGAACACCTGTTTATCCCCGTGCTGGCAAACATGGCCCTCACATGGGTGTACACTATAGAATGCCCATGTGATCAAGGCCTAAAATTACATGTCACGTAAGCAGGGCTGGCGCTACCTCTAGGCAAGCTAAGCAGCCGTCTAGGACGGAGTTGACCCTTAGGCTGGCCATACATTATACAATTATCTGGAGATTTTTGGTTTAGATTTACCAAAAACCATATAATAGGAGGACAAACCTAAACAACACTTTCAGTTGTATCCAATTAGGCAGGCCCTTGCACTACACAGTTGAAGGTAAATCTAAAGGAAATTGGGCAGAACATTGGAAGATAATTGTATAATGTATGGCCAGCCTTACCTTACCTCTTCCTCCTCCTCATCATTCCCCAGGCTCCCGGTGTCACTGTTTATCTCAGAGTCCTGGCGTACAGGACCGGTGTAGGACTATTGGCTACAAAGTCTCCATCAGATCCCAGCTCATCACCCCAGGTAGGGAGAGGGGAGGGCATGCTGGTGTCCTGATCACTGCTGGTCAGGACCACCAATAGAGGGGTAGAATCAGCCCTCCTGTAGGAGGCCCAGACACACAGAGGGCCCAAAAAAAAAGGAAGACCAGTTGTTAGCAAGACAGGGAGGGGGATCAGGGCAGGGGGAGCAATTATAGTTTGCCCAGATGTCCTATTACCCTGCACTGAGTGGGGCTGCTCTCCCTGATGTTCAAGTCTTCCCAGTGACCTGCACTCTTCCCTCTCCTCCTCTCAGGCAGCAGCTGGCTGGGAACTCTGATGGCCAAGCGTCCCTCCCGGAGGACATGTTTCTGCTCTGCACATGGACATCTCTCTGCTGCAGGGCCAGTGTAAAGGTGTCCCTGCTGGAGACAGATGTGCTGAGGAAGACCTGGCCCCGGGGGGTCCTGCAGTGCCAGAGACCAGGATGCAGTGAGTGGGGGCTGGCTATGAGCTGCAATGTGGACCTGTCACCCTCCAGCTGTTGTGGAACCAGAACTCCCAGCATGCCATGACAGCTTCTGCTGGACTTCTACTTCCACTGACCTAGGGAGACCGGTCTAGAATCCACCCAGAAATCCAGGTTTTGAATCATGTGTCCAGGTTTCATTCTACCTGAACCTACAAACATTATTCAGACCAGACCAGAGGCGTAGCTTCAGGGCGGTGGTGGGGTGTAAGTAGCTTGTCTTGCCTAGGATGCAAAATAGTCTAGCACTGGCC